CGGGGGAGGAGAGCTGCCGGGCGGGACATCCGGCCCCGGTCCCTAGCCGAGCCCGCCCGCCGCCCGCCGTCCGCTCCGGCGCCTCCGCCTGGCAGCCGGTCACCCCTGCGCGCCGGGGCCTCCCGCCAGCGCTCCTCTCCCGGATCCTCTCCCGGAGCTTGTGGCCCAAACCCTCAGCGCCCGCCCCCAGGCCAAGCCCCACTCCCAGCAGACAGCCCTCGGATCCGCCCGGCTCGCGCAGGCCCCCACCTCCGGAGCACAATGTTCCCCCGCCCGATGACCCCGCTGGCGGCCCCAAATGGCGCCGAGCCCCTGGGCCGGGCGGTGAGGCGGGCCCCACTGGGCAGAGCCCGGGCAGGACTAGGGGGCCCGCCTCTGCTGCTGCCGTCCATGCTGATGTTTGCGGTGATCGTGGCCTCCAGCGGGCTGCTGCTCATGATAGAGCGGGGCATCTTGGCTGAGATGAAGCCCCTTCCCCTGCACCCTCCCATTCGCGAGGGCTCGGCCTGGCGCGGGACAGTCTCCCGGACCGGGGGGCTGTCCTTGAATGCCGAAGACTCAGACTTGCAGGTGAGGCAAGACATCCGGAACCGGACCTTGCGGGCAGTGTGCGGACAACCAGGTATGCCTCGGGACCCCTGGGACTTGCCGTTGGGGCAGCGGCGCACCTTGCTGCGCCACATCCTCGTGAGTGACCGCTACCGCTTCCTCTATTGCTACGTCCCCAAGGTGGCCTGCTCTAACTGGAAGCGGGTGCTGAAGGTGCTCGCTGGCGTGCTGGACAGCGTGGACGTCCGCCTCAAGATGGATCACCGTAATGACCTGGTGTTCCTGGCAGACCTGCGGCCCGAGGAGATTCGTTACCGCCTGCAGCACTACTTCAAGTTTCTGTTTGTGAGGGATCCCTTGGAACGCCTTCTCTCGGCTTACCGCAACAAGTTTGGCGAGATCCGAGAGTACCAGCAGCGCTATGGGGCTGAGATCGTGAGGCGGTACAGGGCGGGAGCGGGACCCAGCCCTGCGGGGGACGATGTCACCTTCCCCGAGTTCCTGAGATACTTAGTGGATGAGGACCCTGAGCGCATGAATGAGCACTGGATGCCCGTGTACCACCTGTGCCAGCCTTGTGCCGTGCACTATGACTTCGTAGGATTCTATGAGAGGCTAGAGACTGATGCCAACCAGGTGCTGGAGTGGGTGCGGGCACCACCCCATGTCCGATTCCCGGCTCGCCAGGCCTGGTACCGGCCTGCCAGCCGCGAAAGCCTGCACTATCACCTCTGCAGTGCCCCACCGGCTCTGCTGCAGGACGTGCTGCCTAAGTATATCCTGGACTTTTCCCTCTTTGCCTACCCACTGCCTAATGTCACCAGGGAAGCCTGTCACCAGTGACCATGGGTATGAGCCAGCAGCTGTTGGGGACTGGTTTTGACAATGCCAGCTCCTTCCTTGTGCCTGCCATCTAGAGAAACCCTGGTGCTGAAGCCTGGAGTTTGTCCAGATGTCTGCCCTCAGAAGTTCCTTACCCTGGGTGGGTGCCCACAGTAGCTCAGAAGACAGGGTTGGACAGGAATCCTGGTGATCCCCATTGGGATTTCTTGGGGACCAGTGTGATCGTTCTTGCCCTGGCAGAGCCAGATGTCAGTGAAGCAACACATCTGTTCTTCAGACTGGTTCCAGGCCCCTGGCTGTAGGGATTGTACAATTCACTTGATTCACCTTAACTTGCCAAACCCAGAGGTGGACCATCAGGAACTAGGCCAGAACGGGGAGCATACGGCTCTCATCACCGCATTCATCTGCTCCATGTGCCTCAGGGCTGGATTTAGCAGTCCTGCCTTACAAATGTACTTTGTGCCTTTCTGCTTCAGACTCAGAATTTCCTACACTTGCCAGGTTCTTTCCATTTTTCCAAGGAAAGGAAAACTGAGTCAGGACCCTTGCCTGGTAGGTTATTACCAGGTCCTGTAGGCATCCAAAGACCCCTGTGCCCAGCCTCTTGGGGCTCTGGGAACCTCCTCCCCCAAAATTGTGGCTGTGGCAGGTGTTTCTGGCTGCCACGTTTCTGACACATTTATTTAAAATTTGTATTTTTTGAAAGAACCCTTATGAAGGCTTTGTTTCCTAATAGCCAAATTTTTAATAAAGCTGTTTTGTATACGAAGTCAGCTTCTCTGATTCTTTCTGAGTTCTTGTGCATCCAGGCATCTCCTAGATGTCTGTCTCCCTAGGTCAGGAGAGGGAGCTTACAGGTAGAGAAAGGAAGACAAAGTGTAACTTGCTTAGGTCAGTCCAGTGGGCTATTGCCATAGCATGGAGAATTTCGGGGCTCCCCACAGGCCACACTAGATCACAGACTCAACTTCGGGGATGCCACCGCAGGGCAGGCCCCATTGGGCATGGCACACCCCCACGGATTATTCCCTGAAGAAGAGAGTGGATGTGAGACACTGGCTCCTCCTCCTCTTAGGCAGGAATAGTTCTCGATTGAGGAAGTCCCCAGATGAAAAAGGGGATGTTGTATGAGCAATGGGAGGTTATTCCTAGCCTTGAGAATTATAAGGAAGACAAGGAGGTTGAGCAAGAGGTAGGCTTTTGCTGACTTAGATTCAGAGGGAGTTGTGGGTGTTGTGGAAGAATATACCTAGCCTTGCTATTGGCCTCACTCTGGAGGAGAAAATTGAGAGGACAGGGCTTCTAGGCACACTTATGATTCTCTACCATGACTCATCAGGAGGCCTTACCTGAACTTCTGTCTGGGTCAGATTCCCCTCTTCAGGGTCCCCTTGGCTCTAGGGACTGCACCTCAGATAGCATCTGGACTTAGCATGCTCTGTTGTAATGGCCCAGTTACATTTTTGTGTGTAGTTGAGATTGTGTCTGTATTGCTCTCTTGACGTTCCCAGAACCTAGCCCAAGGGGCTGGCACACAGTAGGCATGTATGTGACTTAACAGAACCGAAGTGTACATCTTGCTACAGGACAATGAGCACTGTGCTTGGAGTCACCCAGACCGATCAAGTCCCAGCTCTGTCTACCAGCTGCCTGACCACCTCTCTGAGCCTCCACATTCTCCACTGTCTCATGGGAATAATAACGCCTATATTATGTAGAGTGCTATGAGGATTAATGGAGACAAAATGCCCATCCCAGCACCTGGCTTAACGGTTGTTTTTTTGAGATAGTAGTTGAACGTCTATGTCCTCAGTAGCTTGTGGAGACAGGGGAGAAGCCAGGATGCTGTCAAGCCAGCACTGGAGACTGGAATTACCTCTGAGTAGAGCCCCTTCGACCTTTGGGTTCACTTCCTTTGCCAACCAGTCAGTCCTCTTAGCTTCCTGCTCCTCAGGGGTCCCCCACCCCCACTCTGTCCCCAGCTCCTTCCTCCTGGCTGGAAACTCAGCTATTCAGTCCCCCTCACAAGGCCTGCAGTGTGGAACACCAAAAACCCAGAGGATGCTGGGCCCAGCTGTTATATTTACCTCATCTCATTTAATCCTCACAACAGCCCAGTACCACAGGTGTTATCCTGTTTTACAGACTCAGAAACCAGGACAGAGATGGTAAGTATCTTGCCCAAAGTCCAACCCAGGTGTGGTGCTTCCAAATTGGGGGGCGGTGGGGTGGGGAGAGAGAAAAAGAGATATCAAGGAGGGTGGGAGAGAAGAAGGAATAGGGAGGTTAAGGACAACGAAGGGCAGGTTGGGGGTCGTTTTTAGGGGCATTAGTACAAATTCTCCCTCTTCAGTTCTTTCATTCCTTGCAAAAAATGCATTTAGCCCTGCTGACATTTACCAATCCCCACCCTAGATGAGTGGGAGACAAACGAAGTCCTTGATGTGGTTAGCTTATTGACTGCTTTCCTCCCAGGCATTAAAGGGTGCCAGGCCACAGAGCATCCTGACAGGCAGAATCTGGACAGCCATGGAGTGGGGTGGAAGATTTGAGGGTGAGAGGGAGAGAGATTGCTAAGCAGACAAACTGCCACCTACTGTCATTATTTTCCCTAGAGTCAGCCCCTGAGCAACTTAATTCGTCATCTACCCTTCATTTCAGGAAAATGGACTTCTTAAAAAGAAGCTGCCAAAGAGGTGGCAGAGTTCTGGGGGTCCGGCTGGCTCTAGTGGGGCCTGCCTTATATTGGGCACCTAGACCAGAGCTGGGGCGTGGGTTGGCAAGCTCTGGGTTGCCAGGGGTGGGGTAGGGACATTCTCAGGACTGGACACCTGGTTGTGTCTTCATGGAATTCCTCCTTTGTATTGGGTCTGCTCTCATCCCCACAAGGAGCTAAGTTCTACACTACTGCGTGGTGCCTATGAAGACAAGGGTCTCCTTTAGAATTCACTTCATCCTGACAATCCAGTTCTCCTGGGCACAGGAGGATGGGGCTGGCAATTGTTTAACTTTTTTTCTCTCACTTCTGTCCCGTCCCTCCAGGAGGGTCCCACCACATTAGACCTTCTATAGGGAGTGAGGTCTGAGTGGAGCAGCTGACTCTCCTCCTGGGTAAACACAGAACCCTCCCCTTTCCCAGGGGCTCATCACCAGAGAGGGCCAAACCCTCAGACCCCCTCCCAGGGTGGATCCAGTGCTTTTCTTACTGAACTAGCCCCTGCCTGGCTTAAAGCAAGAGGAAAGGCATTCTTTCTCTTCCTAAAGGAAAATACTAGTAATTAACAATAGCTACTCGGAAAAAAAGCACCTGTGTCAGGTACTGCTGGTACTGCATCGTCCTCTTCATTCTAACAACCTAGCAAGCTAAATAAAGTTATTTCTATTTTATAGATGACAAAATTAAGCCTAAGGGACTTGTCCAAAGAGATGGTGGGGTTGGGATTAAAACTCACCTCCGTCTAATGTTTGCTCCTCTGTATGTAAATATACATCATAAGTTATCCAGCTCATTGCATTCGCTGATAAGCATTGTGTTCCTTTTCTCTGTTTTTTTGTGACTGTCTCCAACCCTTCTTCCCACCATTCCACAAGTGATTCTGTCTACAGACATCTCCAGCTATTACAAAATTCCCCAGATTTGCCCACTATGAGAATCAACTTCTCAATAGTGCTGGACCCAAACTATGAATATACTAGACTTTCAAATCGAGTCCCCTGAGAAGCAGAAGCCAAGGCAGAATTAGAGGTTCAAGAGATTTCTAGGAGAAACAGCTGTGAAAGATAAAGGGCAAGGGAGCAGGGGTAGGCTGAAAGAGACTGACACCTGTGAAAGGAGAGAGAAGGAAAGAATGGGTGGGAAGAGTCTTGGATTACAGTACAGCTCGAAGAAAGTCTCAGCAAGACCAGTGGGGAATCCCAGGCAAAGATTGCCCATTGGAGAAGTCCTCCCTCAGCCAAAGTGGGGAGACATAAACATTGAGGCCGATCAAAAGTAGATCAAAAACTACAGCAGCAGCTGAGGACTGTCAGCAATTGCACTTCTCACAGTAGGTTCTCTTAAAGGGAGATATGAACACAGCACCTCCATAGCTGGCACACAGACCCAACTTGGCTGCTGTGACTACTGGGCATTGGTCCCCAAAAGTTCTGTTGAGATAAGGACATTTTCAACAACCGGAAAACAGCTATTGGCCTACAAGAACCTCTCGATATCTTGGGAGTCTTGAACTAAACTCTTCCCCATGGCCATTCCCTGGTTTTATAGCAGGACTACTGCCTCCGCCTTCATTTGGGCATTGGAAGACATGCCAATACTGTCATTTTCAGGATGTTTCCTCTGCAGTTTACCTAACTCGCTACAGGTTTTGATTATCTTTGGTTTGTGTCATTGTCATTAACTGGGTCTATATTGATGATCGCCTTTGTATAGCTTTCTTCTCTCATGGCTCATATCCATTCAGGCAAGAGCAGATTTACCCAGAATTTGTGTTCGAATGCTGGAGCCCCAGACCTCCCAGGGGATATAGTCCATGCTTCCTCTCAATCTGATCATCCACATAAACTCCAGGGCAGCCTGAATGGGAAACAAAATTTTCCTAAAGAGACCTGCATGCCCACAGATATCACCAGGTCTTCTGTAGCATTTACTCAGCTTTTGAGCTTATTACTGCCCAGTCTTGGACCCTTCTGCAGAGGAGTCCCACAGAGACAAAGAGAAGCATAGCATCAGTCTTGATTTTGCCTTTGTAAAGGGACAAGGAGGATCAAGTTCAGGCCAGGTCATCTTCTACTCCTCAACCCTGTATCCGGAAAGCTGTGCCAGTCTCAGTCTTGGTGTGGGGCTTTGGGAAGTGGAAAGACATGAGGGGCTTCAAGAGCTTGGAAAAGAAGAGCCTGTCATATCACTCTTGCCAGCACCCCCAGATCTGCTGGGCTACCACCTCACTGACTGACTGCAGATGAGGAAATCAGATATTTGATCTCACAGCAGCCTATAGGATAGGAGATCATCAACCATCCACTGGATCATTTCTCTGACCTCCACTGTAGAGAGATTGAGTTGCCTAAGGGGCAGCAGAGTGCCAAGAGTCCAAGCGTTGTGGCCAGAGGGGACATCAGAATAGAGGAGTTCATGAGAACTAGAGATCAGGCTGGCTCCTGAGCAAAGGGCCACAGGCTGCCTGGAGAAAGGTACTTGAGGCATGCCCAAGAATAGTATGGTTGGCTGGGTAGGAGTAGGGGGAATGGGGCAAGGCTTTCTGGCTGAGGAGCTAAGCCAGACTGGGGGTCAGCTGACTACTGGCAATGTAGGCATGCCTTCCCTACCCACCAATGAGAAGCTGTAGTGAGCCTTTTCCACAGAAACTGTTGGACACAATGGCAGGCCAGTCCCCTGAAATGGAGGTCTCCTGCTTCCTGGGAGCAAGTGTCCAGTAATAAAAAGAAAGCTGTTCTGATAGATGAAAGAGCTGGCCTAACTAAAGCAGGGAAGCCAGAAAGGGAAAGCCAGCTCCAGTGCAACTTTTAAGAAGGACTCTTTGATTTTTGTTCACTGAGACTACAGCCCCAGCACCCACATATAAGACAATGAATAGACAGAGGACTGGGGAGCTATGAACACAGAGGGGAAACCGAACAAGGAAGGGGACTCACAGTCTCAGCTCAGACACCTGGTCCTCCCTGAGGCTTTTCTCAGGTACAACCACTTAGCCCCTCACTTCTAGGAGAGCTTTCAATCCATGAGGTCCCTTGTCTGTCCCTGGCCAGGGC